CTGCCCCTTAGCTCAGTTCTTTAGGTGGCTGCTTCAACCAAGCAGTCAGGCTCAGGTTGCTGTGGTTCGATCCCCACAACTCAAGCCAGCCAAACCTGCCCTGAAGGCATTCGGAACAAATAAATAAATAAACAAGACTTTGAACCAAGGGACATTACTAAAGATAAACATTGTATAATAATACAATGGTCAATTCAACTTGAAAACATAACAATTTTATTGTACTAATATGTAAAAAAATAGATGTATCCTAATATGTAAGTGAAAAAAAAAATGAAGCAAAGACTGATAGAATTGAAAGAACAAAAACACAATTATACCTGTAGACCTCAGTTCTCCTTTCTCATAACTCACAGAACCAGACCAAAAGATCTGCAGTACTGTAGAAGACCTGAACAACATTTTTTTTTTCAGACAGGACCTTGCTGTGTAGCTCACACTGGCCTTGAGCTCACAGGCAGCCCAGGTTGGCCTCTAACTTACAGCAATCCTTCTGCCTCGGTCTCCTAAGTACTGGCACTACAGGAGTGTGGCACCATGCCGGGCCTGGACAATGTTGTTAGCTAACTTGAGCTTTAGTGATGGCCATAGAACATTCAACAAAAACAGAGCACACGTTCTTTCAAATACATATGGAACACGTGCTGAACCAAAAAACGAATATTGAGAAAGTTCAAAGAATTAGAATTACACAGACCATGGTTTCCAATCACATTGGTTTTAAATTAGAAATCAATAACAAAAAATAATCTGGAAAATTTCAAATATTCAAAAAGTGAACAATGTTCTTCTACAGAGCTCGATGTCAAAAATACATCATAAGGAAAATTAGAAAATCTCAATGTTTAAAAAAGGAAAAATTGTGGGCTGGCCACACAGCACAGGGGTATAAAGTGCCTGCTTAGGCAGAGCACAGTGGCCAGTGTTCGACCGCCTCCCCCACCACGCGCTGTGCCGGCCCCGCCCCCGGGGCTTACTGAGACAATGATTGAGACTCTGCGTGGTGACACACGCCTGTAATCCCAGTCCTTGGTAGACTGAAAACAGGATTACTACGAGTCTGATCTGTGCAGTCAGACCCTGTAGACACTGCACCAAATACATTAAAAAAAATAAATAAATAAATAAATAAATAAATAAATGGTGGGGCTGGTGAGATGGCTCAGTGGTCTAAAGCACCTACTTAAAACAAGCTTAGCAAAGCACAGGGACCGCGGTTCAATCCCCCAGCACCACATGCCAGCCAGCCCCGCCCCCTGCTGGGCTGAGCTGGGCACACACACACACACACACACACACACATAAATAAACAAAATTTTTAAAAAATGGTTAATATGTTTATTGTGGAAAAGAAGGAAGATTCAGGTCACTGCCTAAGGTCCCAACCTAAGAAGATATGAGGAGGAGGAAAAGAACAACAGAATCATCAGAAAAGTCCTCTAGGATAAGTCTGCTCAGTGGGCAGTAGAGCTTAGTTGATCCTTAAGCTGTCTGGATAAGATTTACCCAGGGGACAGCAGCCCCTAGAGAAGCAGTATCCCTTACTTTCTGTTGTTGCCACTAGCCCTCGAGAACCTGAATGAGTTTTGAGGGAAGGATTGAAGTCCTAGAAATATCAGAAGGCCAAAACCCACAGGGCTAACCCAGAATTATTTTCTGGAGATTTCTTGTAGACCTTGTCTCCATATGCATCAGTTTCTTCCTTTGTGCCTAAAGATTGAGTTCAACTTTATTTTCCATCATCCATCTTCTCAAGACATGGCTTGGCCTCATTGCTAAGCAGACCCTTAAGTTCTGGGGAGCTCCAGAGGCTTGGATGAGCAGGGTGGTGGGGACAGCCTGAGCCCCCACCCCCCACTTCTACCACCCTCTGCCCACAGGTCCCAGTTGTCTGGAGACCTCTTCCTGGGCAAGGGTGGGGCTTTGAAGAAGTAGGATGCAGTCACCCTGAGGGTCAGTGTTGGAACTGAAAAAACAGAATAGAGCCAAAAAATAAGTAGGACAAGGACAGAGATATCAGGACTGGTGCTCAAGGTCAGGGGCAGGTCTCTGGACAGGAGCCAGAGAGAAAGAGTATTTGGGATCTATCCCCCAAGGCCTTCTACATCAGGGTGTCCAGCTGGAAAAGCTGCTTGGGGAGAGCTAAAATATCCCCAAGGGAGGAGGGGGAAAAGGCCAGGGCAGCCTCAAGTCTGGGGCTGGACAAGGACCTGCTGTAGAATTCTCAGATGACCTGAGGAACATTCAATGGTTTCTGGTGTTTACTAAACAAAAGGTGGCGGAGGCTGCTGCAGACCCCTTCTTCCTCCCAAGGATTCCTCACAGAGGGTGAAAGCAGCCCTCCACCATGCATTGCTGGTAATCTAATTACCAGGCTCCCCTCTCCCGGTAGAAGAGTCCTCTCCGGAAAAGAGGGCTGGGATGCAGTTAGCAGGATCACAATTTCAAAAGTTGTCAACACTAGGTTGGCCCTTGCTGGAGCAGAGATCATTACATGAGAGAAGCAACAGTCACCTCCTGGCCTATTAATGGCTTCCTACTGGAAGAGTGCAAACAAGACAGGTAGAGCAGCCCTAGGCAGACCTAGCTAGGACTCTGGGGCATGGGACAGCCTTTCAGGGTCTCAAGCTCTGGGTTCCTCCAGGCAGCAGGGACCAAGACTGCAAGATGGCTGAGAGGAAAATGAAGAAGAAAGAGGTTGGCTCAATAATGAAAGCTGGGACAGGGCTAACACCTGCAAGGCTCCTCCTGACATGGCTCCAGGAGCATGGCACCCATGTCATCTGTCCAGTCCCACAGGTCTTGTTGGTCCCTGTGAGTGCCTGCAAATCACTCAGCCTTGGGTAAGCACCCTGAGTGCCTCGTGTGTGCTGAACTGAATCAAATTGAATTGACTTGACTGCTGAGGGAGAGGTTTTAATCCAAACTGCAATTAAATCTTCCTAATTTGAATCTGCTAATTAGAAAAAGGCTGGGCTGAAGTTGGCAGCAGTGTGATCTTTTTTAAGGGATTGTTCAATCTAATGGAGACTGTACCTAAGAATAAGCAGAAGGCCAGAAACAAAAGAAATGACAAAATCCTTCTTTCCTGCACCTACAAGCACCTTAGGGATCTACCAGCCAGAACCCCCCCACCCCAATCTTTCCTAGGTGTCTATGGAAGGGACTCCCAAAGATTCCCTTGACTGAGCCAGTTTGCTGGGCCAAATGGCTGACAATGACACCGTGATATGTTTGTTTTTTAAATTACTCAACCCTTTTCCAGTGAATTTTTTTTTTTACATTTTTTTTTCCCTAAAAGTTACAGGAATGGCATAAAGAATTCCTAGATCCCCGTCACTCAGATTCTCCAAATGTTACCATTTTGCTATCTTATTGCATCTGTATTTCCTTCATATCTCTAAAGAAAGAATTGTTTTTTACTACACCATTTAGAAATAGGTGACAGGGATGATGCCATTTATATCTAAAGATTCCGTGGACTGCACATCTTTTAAAAGTATTCGAGTGTTCTGACCCACCTCTAGTTACGGCCTCTCCACAATTAAAGCCAGAGAGTTAGGTGGGTCCAAGACCCAAAACCAAGCAAGACTGTCTCCCAAGACAACAAAGACCTCCACCCCATGCATAGGAGATGCACAGTGAAAAGTGCACAGCACCCCTGCCAGCCACACACAGTTACAAAAACACCAAGCTCTCTTGGCAGGTTCTCGCCCCAAGTTTTACCACCAGCCTGACCAGCTCTGCCTCCATCCTCTAAGACTCATGGCTTCGTCCTGTGCTATCCTCACAGCACTCCTTGGCACTTTTCTGTGTCTCCTTCAAGACCTACTTCCTCCAGGAAGTCTCCGTGACCACCCCCCCAGCTCCTTAGAATTCTCCATTCTGCCTTACTGCTTTGTAAAGCCACTGAACTTAGAAAATGTTTTGTATCCTTGTCTCTCTTCTCCTCTGTAGGACCACAAATATTGAGCCCCAGCCCAGGTACATGGTGAAACCCAGTTATACTGAAGCCAATTGCTGCAATCAGGGTCAGGTGGACCAGCTGGGGCTGAGGGTGGTCAGGAGCAGGGAGAAAGGCCAAGGACTGAAGTCTAGGCCCCCTGCTTATTCACAGTGAAGGAAAACAGAAACCCCATGGATCTGGCAAGACTGTCAGACCTCCTTCCCCCAGATATCCCAGAAACTCACCAGTCAGTGCCCTCAGCCAGATACCTGGGCTGAGGGGTCTGCAGTTGGTGGCCGAAGTCGAAGCTGGGGTGGAGACGGTGGGGGTGGACGGAAACACGCTCCTGACTCCGCCTGCACCAGGAAGGAAAAAGAGAGCCCATGGCATCAGGGCCTGCCAGGCGAGTGGAGCTCCCAGAGCTCTGCGCTCTGCATGCCACCCAGAAGCTAACCCACACAGAGCACACAGACTAAGGGGTGGTGGGCTGCTCGCCTCCCCTCAAACTCAAGGAAGCCTCCTAGATGAGTAGCTGTTGGTCGCTCAGCCTTTCCAGCTGTCTTTAGGTTGCCCACTGACCTCAGGCCTAGGTGTGTGGGCCTGCGCGCTTGTCCCAAACTCTGTTGCTTCCTCTGTCCTCCTGATGCTCCCCACACTCTGTTCCTGGTGGGCTGTCCTCAAAACATACAGATGTCCCTCTTGCAGGCTGCGTTCTCCATGTGGCCCTCTGTTTCCACCATCTTCTTTCCTCCTTCCTTCTCCATGCTCTTCCCAACTTTAACAGCTAAGGTCCAAACTCCTCTTCTCCCAGAAGATGCCCTGAACACTCCAGATCTTGGTGGCCTCTCACCTCTGACCTGCTGCAGCGTTGCTGTGCTACCCAGACACCTCAGTGCTAAGGGCGCCACCGACGCCCAGGGCCCTAGAGATCATCTGACTAGTGGGCCTCAGCATGCTCCAAGCACCCTGGTACTTTCAGGTAGTTTGAAACATCAAATTAGGATGCAGTTTGCTCTTCACCCTCATTCTCTCACAGGTGAGCAGTGGGGTTTTCTGAAAACACTGTGGTGTGGCATTCTGGGAGACGGTACAGAAGCAGAAGCAAGGACACAGCTCCTCTATTAAATTGTGCCTTAAAGAGATTTGCAAATATTTGTTTTTAAAAAGTTGCCCGTCTCACCAAAATATGGTTGCTTTCACTAAAATGTCGCATTGGGTTAGCATAAGCATTTATTTTTTAATGAATTGACCATTTAAAAAACTAAGATGGTAAATATTGATGGTCTAATCCATATAAACAAAACTCTTTGCGGTCATTCATGTTAAGAGTTGGATGACCATAACGTTTGAGAATCACTGCACTCATCCAATTCTTGAGGCTCAGAGCAGTATAGCTACTTCAAACCACTTTCATTAGCACCTCCTAATCCTACTGTTCCACTGCAGGGGTCTACAGCTGGACTCTCCAACTAGACCTGGCTTCACTGAGGGCAGAGCTGGAACCAGCTGTTTCCTCTGCAATGCTTGGGTTTTAGAATAAGATGATCATGCAGCTGAAATCCCTAGGGGGTCGCTAGTTAAATTTCTCCCCACGGGATATAGATGAATGTCCATTTTGTATCTGTGTATTCAAAATGGTTAGGATAGATATATAGTTGCATTCTCTTAATGAATAGAGGGATTTGTTCCAA